CTTTTATTCAGAATGCAACGAAGATCTCTCGAACGAAATTCAGGTTATAAATTGTCCAATAAAATTCTTAAAGAATATTTAAAATTAGATGGAGCTTTATTTAGTCATGAGGATAATTGTTTTTTACAAGTCAAGTTATTGCCATTTTCGAGACTTGTGGTGGACAATATATTTAATAAGAAGTATAATTAATTAGAATAATTTTTTCTATTATCATTATCTTCTAATCAAATTTTGTTGGTGAAATATTTATTGCTTACATGTACGAATTAAATATATTTGTGTTTTTTAATTATCTGTAAACTTTAAATTAGTAAGAAATAAAAAAATATTTGTAACGATCTTTAAACTAATCAAATTAATTTTTGACGTAAAAAGGTTTGTAATAATAAATTATTTTATTTTATCTACGATGATCATACCAATTTTGATCCAATATTCATTCTAATTACCACACTTTGCCGTTACTCTCAAGTTACATGAATATGGAACTTATGTTTTGAATTTATTAGAGTATTAGGCTCAATCAAAAAAGAATCTCACAATAATTTTAATAATATTTCGATAATTATATAAAAAATAATAATAATCCGTTAATACTCGGGGAAATTTGCAACTGTGGCAAAATCCGTCTTTCACCCTGTAATCTTTCCGTGATATATTAATATGATAAATTTTCTGGTGAAAATATGGAATTTTAAATCACGGATCGGTTTCCTTTACATGTTATGCATAACGAACTCATTAAAATATGCGATGATTATATCGTATTGAGTATTTTATACCTGCAAGCGAATTTTATTTACAGGCAGGACCAGAATTAGCAAATGGCCCCTATTCTATTATAATTTTGACCAAGTCATTGAAAAAATGGCAAATGACCATGTAATTTGCCAATTCTGGACAAGATTTGATTTTTATGATGATAGTTACGGATCTAATATATAGTGCTAAATTGGTGATTGTTAGATGTTTGGAAAGTGAGAGGGTCTAATACAAGTGACTTGAATGATTGCGAAAAATATCTTGGTAACGCTATGATGATAACCTTTTCGAGTATAACTATTAATAAAATAAAGAAATAATATAAATTCCAAAAGTTTGGTAAACATAACATTTATTAATGTTAGTACTAAATTATTGCTAATTTGGACGAAGATGAATTTTGGCTGAAAAATAAATACTATCTAAAAAAGTAAAGTCAAATCGACCATTGAGCTTGAAGAACATGATGGCAATAGAAAATTCATGATATCCGAGGGGATTTTGATGGAAGACTTATTGAACTCTTCCATGCTCACGGAATCAAAGATCAACAAAAGCTACAAGAAAAAAGAGGGTAGACGGCACTGACTCACCCTTCAGAAATCGGGACATTTTGTGAATATAAAAGCAGCGAAAGAAGGCAGAATGTATTTTAACCTACCAACATTTATTATTGATGGTAATTATTATTATTATTATTATTATTATTATTACGCTTTTTAATTAATTATATTGGTTTGTGAAGTATTTTAACGGATCAAAATTTTTTCCAATGTTCTAATTCATATAACAAGTTACTATGTTGGATAAATACCACCCATTCACTATACAGTATCGATTCGTCATCAGATCAAGATGAAGATAAGCTCCAAAAAATTTCGTTAAAAGGATAAAGATCTTATATAAGAATAGAAATAAAGGGATACAGAGCGGAATCTTGTAATTGCTCGTTTGCATTATGTTTTCTTTTCTTTGATGTTTTCCTTTCTTTTGGTAAACTTCACAAGTAATTTTTTACTTTTCTTGGACAATCTTCAAGAATACGAGTATCAACCAATTTAAATATACAATGGACAATTTCCTTGCCTTGTTTTTTTTTTAAAAAAAAAAATACTCCCAATAGTGCTGTAATTCTTGGGCTCTATGGTCATATTTGCATGATATAAGCATCTGTTGCTGGAAACGAGAGATGTCTAGCTTTGGCTAAATCCAAGGGTTGTATATGGATGATAACCACAGAACATCAAAGGGTCTGGAGGGAACAAAGAGCAAGAATTGAAAGGAACGGAATTGTTACTGAATATGATATGAACCAAACCGATGAGGAGACTTGGTATTCAGTGGTGGATGAACTTATCTAGGGTGTTATTAAGAAAGTCAAAGAAAAGATTGATGGCATGAAACCTTGCAATTCAATTCCTCCAAGAAAACAAACTCAGTGGTCCTAGACAGTAAGATTTCAAGTTTTTTACAGTAGAAGACCTTACAAAGATCTTGATGTCATGTTAGGAAGAATTGTTTAAAAAAAAAAAAAATTTACCAAATACCAAGTAGCAAGCAGATAGAGAAAGCAGGCAAGTTTCTTCCTAATCTACGCATTGAATTAATCACCCTAATTATCTTATATATTGGATAATTAAAAAAAACACGAAGCAAGAAACATATCACAATCATATTACAGTCGTGGTGTTTAGCAATTTGGCACCTGTGTTCGTAAAAGATTCGTGAGACAATGTTCACACGTACGCCCTATTACTATATGTAAAAAAGTCGAAAAAGCCTTTTTGTAAATAGGAAATTAAAAAATTAACTAAATTCAAAAACACTATAACGAATGTTTTGATTGGTCGGTATTGTTTATGTTAAAAAAAATTATGAGTGATAATTCGGTTCAGATATTCGCACACACAAATAGATCACAAAAGCTTATAAAAAAATTATCCAACAACCAACTTGACTTTTTCATCATAAACTGGTGGTATAATCAGCGACAGATCAGTGGAAGATAAATAGTAGGTAGATAAATGGATAAAGTGGGATTAGAATGAATGATTGATTGATTAATTTAATAAAATAATAATTTCCTTCCACTCTTTAAAAATATCATTACTACTACTATTTCAGGCCATTCAACAAATAAATATGCATCAATGTAATCTTCAAATCTTACTAATCAACAACAACAACAAAAAATATACAAATTGTAACATTCAATTAACAACCAAAAACAGTGATTGTCATTGCTTGGAGATTAAGTACTTATATGTAAATGTGTGCATTTACTATATGGTGTATACCCAGTAATATGTTGTGATAGTTGGCTATAATTAAGCATGTGTATAAGTGATCTAGATAATATACATATTCATAGTATTTTTTTTAATAATGGGTGGTGGTGAGTTGTTGCAAGCAATCAATGTTAATGTAACAAGAATTAAATCACAAGGATTAAAGTTGTTAAGTAAAGTAAGGGAGGAAGGGATTTTAGACATTTTTTTGTATTTAATTAATTGTTTTTTTTTCAAAACTAGTTTTTTTAAATTTATGAATTATTCTTATCTTCAAATACAAACTTATAATTATTTCACATATTTAGTAAATCCAACTTTAATTTTTCATAAAATGTGGCGCATTAGTTCAACAAACCAAAACACAACTAGTCGAAAAATGAAAAAATATAAAAATATCATCAAATAATAAAATTGGAATTTAAATTCGGAAATTTCCGGATCCGTGAATCAGCAAATAGACATGGTAGATATCGTAATGGTAATATATTTGTCGATTTCTATTTCTATCACTATTGACTAAATTAATTAATTATTATGACGTGTTTGTAGTCAATAATAATAATAATAATAATAATAATAATAATAATAATGAGCAAGAGAGCTACAAAACAAACTCTTCCGAATACTCCCTTTAATAATCTTCGGATTGTAATTTGATTGGCTAAAAAAATTATGGAGGGAGAGAGAGATTTTAGTGAAGCATGAGGAAAGAGAATAAAAACCGAAAAGAAGACAATAATAGATATGTAAATGACTATTTATTGTTAAAAATGTGTTAGTGTTAATGTTGATAATTGGGTGTAATAATATTACAATTGTGCCTAATCATTTTATTGTAACTATTTGACCGCTAGTAGCTGCGACTTTAATAATGAATGAGATTACCAGTTAAAACAAAAAATTTTTTTTAATATATTACTAATTATTTAAAATCATCGACACGTTATTTTACTTAAATTAATATAATAAATAATAATTTAATTTAATTTCAATTGTAGTTTTTTTTTTTAATAAAGAAATCATAAATCCCCAATTTAAGTATTATATTATATATTTATTTATTTATTTTATAAATTTGGACTCACTCCTATTACTATTTAAGCATCAAAAATCTGAAAAAATTCAAATTCAAAATATAAAATAAAAATTTTTATTTTCTAAATAGTTTTTTTTAAAGAAAAATTTTTTTTTTAATTATTATTAGAATAACAATATTCTAAATCTTTTCTCTCACACTTGCATATCAGAAAATTCATATATATAAGCACGATTAAATTTTGATAAGAAAGAGAAAAAGAAAACGCAAAAAGAAAAAAAAGAAAAAAGAATTATTTTTTACTCTTATCTTTAATATCTTTTTATTTTTTATTTTTATTTTTTTATTTTACCTGTTTAATGCAACTCTTAATTTCATTAATAATATAATTTTCTTATCCGAGTGCTTAATCATCATCATCACATCAACATAATAATACTGTGATATATAAAAAAATAAAACTTATATATAAACATTAATTTTAATTTTTATATATATATATATTTTTTTCCAACAACAAAAACAAAAAATTTCCTTTTGATAAAGAGAAATAAAAAAACATTTTATTATTAACTAATAAATATCATCATCATCATCATCATCATCATTATTAATTCATCACCGTCTTCCCTTTTCTTTTGCGCCATTTTAAAACATATTCCAAAAAGAAAAAATATTACAATCACAACTTTTTCTCGCTTGTTATTTCTCTATTTTAAAATTCCCTCTTTACGTCTTTTCAAACAGCTTTTTAAAATAATAAAATAATAATGACAATAGCAATGATAATTCCTGATGACAATTTAACCGGAATAACGCCTGGTGTAAAACATCCTCCAGAAATCTGTGTTGACTATTTGTCCCACGAGTGGAAAAAGGAAGATGATATTTGGACTTCATGGAAGGCAATGTCTAAACAAAAAAAAGAGATCGCTAATGGTATCAGATTGGAAAATGCTTCCTGGAGAACCTGGGCAAAACAGAAATATCATTTGAGAACCGTTAATCCTGAAAAAATCAATTGGTAAGATAGATCAATGGACCTGCTGCTGCACAAATTGATATATTGGTATTTAATAAAAATATATTTATTAATCTCAATTTTTATTATTTTTAGGCTTAAAGATAACGATGTTACATGGTTGTACGGTCCTTTTCACACCGAAGATGAATTCCATTTAATGAAAGCCTCATCGCAACCATTACCACCATTATCAAATTCTAACAATACCGATTACGTTAATTACGTTAACGATATACATTCTTCACCTACATCACTCGTATCACCTGCTTTATCTATATCTTCTGATCCATGTACCAATTCTTCGACATCATCACCTCAAATGTTCACATCAACGTCAAAATCTAAATCTTGTCTGAAAAAGAAAAAAATATCTGAAATATTACGTCCTAAATCTTGTGCTACAAATACAATTAGCGACAAAAACCAATATGATATTAATATTACTAATTATTATAAAGATATAATATCGACGACCGCTTCTTCAATAATACCAACAACATCAATGATAATAAATAATAATAATTGTGGCGACGGCGATCTTGGCAGTGATTGTGAAACTGCATCAACTTGTTCTACAATATCGGCTCCAACTACTCCTATAGCTGGTCCAACTAAATCAATACTATTACCAATTGAACGTGAAAGTAATCAACATAATCATCATATTAGATTTAATGACCAAGTTGAACAATGCATAGCCATAGATTCTTCTGATTGTGAAGAGGAAGAGGAGGATAAAGACGACAAGGAAAATAGTATTGACAATAACAATAAGAAAATTATGAAAAAGAAAAAGGATTGTTTTACAATATGTAAAATTGCTCCTACAAAATTAAAACCCGGGTATTCTACCAGTAACAAAAATGACAACAGTAACGACAGTTACTTTAATTATGACTATAACTATGACTATGACTGTAATTATGATCATGCTTTTTCTTCAACAAATCACAATATTAATAATAATAAGAACGATAAAAATAATGCAGCATCTTCATCTTCTACACCATCTACAACGACTTCATCTTCCTCAAATAATACACCATCAAAATTTCCTTGGATGGATGATGATGATGATGATTTGGATATTGATGATTTGGATATATTTGATTTTGATTCTAGTCCATCATCATCGTTATCATCATCATCATCATTGTTGTCTTCATACAATTCCACCAGCACAATACAACCAATTCCTTTTTGTTGTTCACAATCACCACCAAGAATAATATCTTCAACGTCATCTTCTAAAAATATTAATGATATAACACAATCAGAAGATCAAGAGGAAGAGGAAGAGGAAGATAATGGATTAGTTGATAAAGCTGTTAATATAGCAACTAGCGTCAGAGTGATTGTACAATGGTGTTCTATTATGGTTTTCAATAGATGATTTGTCAATGTGCATCATCCGATGATAGTAGTTATTAGTGGTAGTGGTGCAATAATGGTAAAAATATAAAGATGGATTTATTTTGCATTTTTTTTTTTTTTTTTGATTTAAAACTTTCTTCAAACTTTTGAAATAATCAATATCTTAAATATTTAAAAAAATCAAATTCTTATAGCCTTCATTAAGTTTTTTTTTGATTTAAAATTAAGAAAAAAGGGAATTATTTTAGATTTGCTAATTATATAATTTATTTATCATACAAACATTACCATATCAACTAGTCATATAAATCAAATCATCATCTCATATTCATCATATTAAAATAATTTATGAAATTAATTAAGAACATTAATTATTTTATTTTTATTTTAATTTAAAAAAAAAAAAAAGTAATTATAGAATTAAAAAAATTATTTTTGTACATAATAAAAAAAGGTAAAACAAGTAACAATAATAAAAATTAAATTTTAATATTAAAATGATCTTCATGAGTCCATAAATTGATAATCTTTTTTTACCTTGAAATTAACCAAGTCCTACCTCTACTAAAAAAAAATTACAAAAAAAATTACTTGTGGTTTTATATAAATTAGTTAATAGGATGCTGGAGTGTGCGTTGATTCATTTTTATATCATTAGTATATATATTTGACAACGACGGAATAAAGCAAAAAATCAGGACAAAGAGTAAAAAGCGCACAATGCGCACAATACTCGAAAATTTTGAAGTAAAAGAAATATGATAAGGTATACTTCTTGATTGTTCTTACTCATTTATTCACATTGTATAGTAATAATAGGATCCCTGATTCGACTGACAAAAATTATTAGAGCAAAAATTAAACGCTTGTAAAAAACATTATTATTATGGAAAAATCAATAATAAAAATACCATTAGTTCATATTTACATCAAATAAAACATTAATACCTACAAGCAAATAGATTTAGAATCTTTGGTTAATGTGGAAAGAGAACGCGACCTTCTTTTTTATTTTTATATAGCAGGAAAGTCCTCAAGTGTTGATATAAATGCGCAGAACATACCTACGAATACTTTGATCACAATGAATGACTGTCCAAACATTTCCAGAATCATATTATATATGTTGGAGTAAAAACTCGTTACTTGAGGGCCAAACTATTAAACTGAGATAGAGAGAGTCATGATATAATCCTGGCTGGAGTTGCACATTAATTTTATTAACATTCAGAGTGTCCAAATATGCAATGATTTATGGCATATATATATATATTCTAGAGTGATGCACATATAACAAGCCAGATGCTTTAATGGTTCACATTTCTTTTATTAACAAGTTAGAGATTGTCTAAACATAAAGATTTCATGTACATGTTGATATATATTATTAACGTATGTATGTACTAGTTTGACAGAATTTGGAGATAAAGTTAACACACATCTAATTAGTAGTGTAAAAACGAAGTTACCTTTTCTTTATAAAGTTATTCAACGCAGCGAGCTAAATGTCCAACAATAATATATTTATATTTTTTTTGGTGATTGTTTAAATCTTAGAAATGGTGATTCTTGCTACAAATGTTGGCACAACAAGTTAAAGATTGACGTAAAGATAGATTAGATATCATGTCGTACATATATGTTAATAGAATAAGTCGATTAATTTGAATTCCTTGTCACTACGTTGGGGTGAAAGCAATAATACATCTTATTATTAGCAAGCTAGGCTGGTCATCATTCAAACGTCTTTAAGGTTTATTTAATATGCATATCCGCTCTCCAGAACAACCAAATCACGTGATTTTGTTTTTTGAAAGAGGAATATTTTCTATGAGACACAATTGCATTAAATTGCATTAAGATTCCGAGATCCAATGAAGTTAGCCACATTAAGTCAATTATTTTGCTGGAAAGTTAATCTCTTGTTTTATTACACAAAATGGTAACATTAGATAGAACAATACCAAAGTCAATTTATGATAACTTAGTTGCGTGAATGTTTAACATATATGCGAGAGGCTTAGGTATAGAGAGTGTCATGTGTGGTGTTGGTGCAATACAACACATTATTTGACAAAGCTGTATGGGCACATTGTAGGTATAGCAAAACTAATTTACAAATTAAGGATAGCTAACTAATAACATTTACACAACGAATGTCGTCGCACGAACTGTTGAAGGATAAGCGAATAACCAATTAATAAACTTGTTTTTATGCCATATCATACAAAGAACAGAAATATAAGAACCCAAGAAACAAACTATAATGAACTCAAACACGATGATTGTTTTGAGAGCTATCCCAGTAAAGCAATGGGTCAAGTCAATTAAAAAATATTGAAATTTAAAGTAAAAGAATTACTAAAGCAACGATCAAGTGATAAATAGTCACATGTTCTTTGTTTTATTTGTATGTATGTATGGTAATAATAATAAACAAACTAAATTATTTTGTGTTTACATGAAAGTGTGGGGTGCATGCATATTTATAAAAAAATCTTAATTAAAAATATATATTTGCGGCAATTTTTTTTGTGAATGAATTATTTTTTATTGTAATTCGATGAATGGAAATTCGTTGTGTAATTTTTGTGGGAAAAACACAATCAAAATTGATTGAACAATTATATAAAAAAAATTCGCAATATTTTTTATTTTCATATAAAAATTGTCTCGGGTTTTTGTTGATACAATAGATACAATAATAACAATAATAGTACTAGTTAATAGAAGAAGATGAAAACTCCGAGTTGGAGCCGAGTTCAGATTGATTGTTATTATATTCAAAATTAATCTAATTAAAAAAGAAATTTAAAGGAGAAGTTTGTGTAAGAGAAAGAATACGGAAAAATATAATTGTCTTAATTTCACACGCACGCATGGATTTTCAGTAATTTAAAAAAGGTATATTAATAAAATAGTATCACAAGGAAATGGGAACTACAGGGTTCTAATTAGAAAGCCCAGTTATATAGATTACGATATTTAGAAAGATTTGCATAGTTACCAGCGCGGTATGACCCCTGAATACGATATTTAGTTAATTCGGCACCATATTTAAAGAGATTTACATGATTTATCTATTTTGACCCGCGCGGTAAAGATGTTGGGGTTGTGTAACGCATTTTTAAATTTTATGCCCGCGGCGTATTCAGGGTCCTGTTTATCATTGGCCAAAAATTATTTAACAAAACAATTAAAAAATAAATATTATTCATTTGTACATTTTTTATTATAAATATTGATTTGGTGTGCTTTTTTTCGGCCGATTCTGTAAACAACTGTCGCAGTACTTATTGAGAAGACACGAGCCAAACAATTTCCCGGGTACAGAAAAGTTGTATTGAGCGTAATTATAATTTAGATTAGCAAGATTAGAAGTAGCAGAGACATCAGATATTGCGAATTGTCCTGTTAAAATTTCCAGAAACAAGAGTGTAATTTACAAATTTCATGGATGCTAGGTTATGTATATGAGTTTTTTAGGGTCTGAATAATCTTTGAATCTATTTCTATACTCGTACCATGATAAATGATTTCAAGATAATTTCTTGTCCTCGAAAATAAAGCAGCTATTGGATTTTAAAACAAAAGATTAAAAGATTACACATAGCCAAAACAAATTAAAAATTAAAATGATTCGAAGGATTAAATTGTTTGTTAGAGATAGATTGATGTATATAGCATTTGCTGTTCTATGTCATTGTAAAAAAATTTATTCTCATTTTAGTCTATGGAATAACATTCGACCATTAAACAATTAACAAATCATTTAAAAGAGTTGTTGTCCATTATCAATCAATCAAAAAGCTCTTTATTCGCCAAAAGAATAGTAGTTAATAAATAATATTAGCAAAAACAAACTAATTAATTACAATAATATCAAGATTAAGTTGAAGCAATCGGTGACACATTCCACCCAATATTAAGAATATAGAGTATAGAGAATATATCAATTGATCATAGCGCAGAGAGCATAGTGGAAGTTTGTTGTTACACGAAATGTTGTACAGAACTCATTGCTTCTGAAACTTCGCCAGTGTATAGTTGTTACCTCTCTAAATTGGAGATCAAGTTCGGATCAAATTCAAATCCAGTTTATCACTTACTTTTTATTGCCAGAAGGTTTTCCGTGTATTGTAAAGCTACGTTGCACAATATAAAAAATTAGTGTAACATTTCAAATTTCCACTATGCTAGCGCAGAGCGTTTTACTTCAACGTTTAGATAAACTTCATTGACCTTTCTAGGGTTAGAAATAGGGTTATGGTGATGATTTAATTGCTTCATATTACTAAAAAAAAAGGATGAAATAATAGAAGCTGGTTGACTTGTTTGCTTGATGTTCTTTATTAATTGACTGTTAGTTATATACATTATGTATAAATGTTAAGCTTTTTTTGCCATACAAAAAAATGGACCGTCAATCAGAAATCGTCGTCGAAGTGAATTACTCAAGTTAATTGTTAGTTAATATGAATAAATTGATCAATTGATAATTTGTTTTTGGAGGAAAAGTGATTATGGCAATCATTGCGGATTCTCGATTTTCTTAAAAATAACTATATATGCCATTTGACTTAAATAGCTCAAATAATTACGGAGACAATTTCTGCAACTATAATCCGTATTTTTGTTTGTTATAATTGTTTAAATTTACTAAATTTGTATTTAATTAAAATTAGAGGAACCATTAATTGTTTGTTTATTTGTAAAACTTTACTTTAATTAAAACTATATGTATGTATGTATGTATGTATGTATGTATGTATGTATGTATGTATGTTTATTTATTTGTAAACAATCTTCAGGAAATCCTAAGATGGTCTCGGAGATCTACGGAACTTGAGTTTTTTCCAGAGTAGGGAGGGGGACAACTTTCTCTCTATTACTATTAATATCTTAGTGCGTATTAAAGGAAAAAAAGTTAAGCGTGCTTGCATGTCCCGAAAAGCTCCGTCGGATGTTTTTTAGGTTTTTTTTATGGACTACCCCAAATAAGGAAACAATATTTTCTCA